GTCAGCTTGGCCCCCAGCACAGCCACCTGCCTGTTCACTCTCTCGGCCCCTGTGAGGAAGGTGTTCAGCCCTGGCTTTGAGGTCAGAGTCGTCTCCTCTCTGGGTTTGTGTGAATGGAGGAGCCGCAGCCCTGGTCTGGATGGTGTCTTGGCCCTGGGTTTCCGGGTTTGGAGGAGTATCTTACCGCCTAGACCCCCACCTAGGGTGCAAGAGTTCAGGGGCTGTGGATCGTGGGTTTTGGGGGCAGAAGATATTTAACCTGGGGTTTGAGGAAATTGAGGGAGAAGAGGCTCAGGTTCAAGGGCTCCTGGTTTGAACCTCTTGCTTTAGGTTTGAGGGCCAGGGCAGTCTCACCAGAAGCTGCAGGATATCATCAGGAACATTCCAAGTGTTCTTGCACACACCCCGGGCAGCTGAGTGGGAGAAGATGACAGGTGCCTGTGACACTTCTAGGGCTCGCTGTGCCACAGCATCCAAGACATGGGATAAGTCCACCATCATGCCCAGGCGGTTCATTTCTGCCACCACCTTCTGCAGGGACAGGATGGGGAGAGGGCATCAGGGCTGCATTTATCTTGTGTGCATTTATCTGTAGGGAACAGGCGGGGCTGTACATTCATGCGGGGCAGGGTATGGAACCTGGGTCCTTACCTCGCCAAAGCCGGTCAGCCGACTGACATTGCTGTAGAAGGGGTGGATACCCTTTGCTGAGCTCTGTGCCCTGCAGGATGGCCAGGAGGCAGTCTGACTGGTGGCCATGACTTGGCTACAAGAGCCTAGAAAGAGGTTCTGTCAAACCATCTACACCTGCAACTCCCTGGTGCAAGAGGAGGGACCCAAACTGGGCTGTGCCTGGCAGTAGCAGGGCCCTTCTGGGGATTCATTCTTGTTCTGCAAACCTCCATTCCCCTCCCCACCCAGGTTCAGGGCCGGATCCCAGGGGTAAACTTGCTTTGGGCCCCAGCGTGATCTTGGGCAGATCCCTGCCTCCCTGGGCCCTCACCATCTGCACTGTGCTCACCAGGGCGTGTTGCAGGTGTGGGTGAGTGTCACGTAGCACACACCCAGCGCATAGAAGGTGTGCAAGATGGAGAGGCTACTGTCCAGTGAGTGGCCGCCCTCCACACCAGTGAGGCAAGCCAACTTCCGGGTATTGTTGAGAGCTGGGGGCAGATAGGTCAGATGATCATTTTCAGAGGCAGGGGTAGCTTACTGAAGTCCCTAACACCTATCACCACCAGTCTGTTTACCTTTTTTTTTTCGGCCGTGCCACGCAGCTTGAGGGCTCTTAGTTCCCCCACCGGGGATCAAACCCGAGCCCCCTGTGGTGGAAGCGTGGAGTCTTAACCTCTGGACTACCAGGGAAGTGCCCCGTCTACCTTTAACTGAGGTCACAAGCTCCAGCTCAGAATAGGAGGCACACAGGAGGCGGATGAGGTCAATTTGCTCCAGGGTGAGGCGCACAGCATCCCGTTCGTGGGTCTGGCACAGGACGTAGGCTGACCAGAACTGAGGGAAGGCCAGGGCTTAGTTTGGGCTTTGGAACTCCTTGGGCTTCTTATAGCCTCCTCAGCTGGCACAGCACTCACTGTGCCCAGAAGTCACATGTAATGCGTTGCTTTCTCTGTGGTACTTGGATGCCCGTCAGGTTGGCTCACTGTGACCCCTGTAGCCCCCAGCATCCTTGGCATGGCACTTTCTAGGTCACTATGGTAACTTAGTTCCAATGTGATTAACCTGTGGTCTCTGAGGCCCCCAAACTGCCCCACATTCCCCAGCAGCCATGGTGGCACCTTGTGTGTCCCTTTGGTACCTGGGCACCCACGAGACCGTCTTTCAGCCTGTCCAAGCTGGTCTGGCCATGGCTGAAATTGTGCAGATTAACATCCTGTAGCCCGTTGTGGTAAAACTGCCTCAGGACCAGGGGCATGTCCTTGTGGCTGGAGGGAGGTCAAGGCAAACGGGTGGGCTCCTTAGGTCTTGGGATCAGGCAGGACACATTGCCTGGCCTGGGCCAGCCTGGGGGCCCCCCACCTCACACTGTCACACAGACTATACTAGGAGCAGCTGAGGCCTGGGCTGAGGGGTTCCCACCAGGGAGGGGATGACAGAGAAGGGGAAGGGCATCTGTAGATGATGGAGAGGACATCCAGGGGTGGTGTGAGGGAGCCTCCCCACTAGCTCTGCATGCTCCGGACCTCCTCCCCTGCCCAGGGCCAGGCTAGGCCCCCACCGGCCCCCAGCAGCCCACACATACTGCAGCCACCCGTCCACAAGCGGGAAGTCCCGCATCAGGGCCTGTGTGCGCTCCCGTGGACTTGGGGTGCTGGAGGTGCCCGGTGTGGTCTGCACGGGTTACCAGCCACAGCAGCAGACCCAGCAGGAGCAGCAGACACAGCAGAGGCCGCTGGCTGAGTGCACGGGGACCTTCGAGGCCCCCGGGCCGCAAGCTGCGCAGGGCCAGGCAGGCGGGCAGAGGCGGGTCTGAGAGGGGCGGGCGATGGGGTTCTGCCCGTTGACACAGGCCACCCAGCAGCGCGGCCTCGCGAGGGGGCGGGGTGAGGGAGTGGATACAGAGTCACAGGACCCTGCGACCCGTGTGCGGAGAGCCGCGATCCGCGAAGCCCGGCAGCCACAGGGCGGCACTGCCCTCCTGCCCCCTGCTCAGAGGCAGCTCCCGCGGGCTAAGCTGGCCTCTGCTGAGAGCCCACTCGCCTCCCATCGCGGGTTCCCTCCGCCCCCGCCCCTCTTCCCACTCCCACTGCTCCGAGGGGGCGCCCCAGGTTGCTCTCCCCCGCCTCTAAACTTCCTGTCCAAGCTGGGGTGCTTCTCTCAGAGGGCCACCTTCAGCCTGAGGCCTCCCGGGAGCACACCTCGTCCCCATCTGCCTGTAGCTGGCCCCGTCCACCCCGAGGGCTGCGTGCGAGTTGTCTCTGTGGCCACAAGTGCTCTGGGCTCCCGGTTTCCCGGTACTGGCCCATGGGGGCTGGTGTGGGGGAAGAGATAGTTTCTGGAAATGTGGGGGGGGGTAACCTTGTGAGCTCTGGATTCAGGAAGAGGCCCTCTGCCCCCGACCTTCTCTCTGCACCTACTTGACACCCCAACCTGCATGACCATTCTCTGGGGACTTGAACCAGCACCTGGGAACTATCAGGAACCTCCCCCACTTCTGTCAGCCAGCCTCAGGAAAGAGCACCCTCAGGAGTTGCTACACCTCCCCAGGGCCTGAATAGAGGGACTTTTGGGATGTGAACTGAACAACCTTCTGGGGAGGGTCAGCAACCCTTTTACTCAACAGAGCAGGAACCCAGTCAGTGGCTATTTGAGTGGAAGGAAATGAAGTCGTTTCCATGGCAGCAGAGCCCCCACCGCAGCAACCTTCCTCCCAGAGCTGCTGGCTGACCTTCTGGCCAGGATCCCTCCTACCTGAGCATGGAAGGCCCGGCCTCGTGGAGAAGTATAGGTTCTGAGGAAAGACCTGGCACCTGGGTTCTGCTGCTACACTTGCCTTATCTCGTGGCCCTTGTGGCTGTAGCTTTCCCAGAAACCTCAAGGGCTAAGTGCCTGTGCTTGCTCAGAGGCCGCACGCCATTCCCCATTTCCAGCCTCAGGCCCTCCCCCAGCTGCCTCCTCTAGGGACCCCCTCCCCCCAACACACACACACGCACACGCACACACACACTGGGGATGTGCCTTCTCACAGAAGATGAGAAGCAACCACTGAGATGCTTTAGGGACTGTGCCCAAACTCCTTCATCCCCAGCCTCTCAAGTTTTTGCTCTGATCCCCCCAGGTGGCAGGAGTGCCTAGCACAGGGGTAGTGACCTAAGTCTGAGCACTGGCGACCCTAGAAATATGTTACAGAAAAAACATTTTATTGAGCAGTAAGGGACCCCACTGGGGACAGAAAGGGCTGGGAATAAAGGAGCATGTGAACCTCGGGGCAGGGTGCGTGCTACTTGACTCTCCATCCTGTTCTTGCTTCAGGGAGCAGGTCTTCCTGGGTCTCTCTGTCCTGCCTCATGAGACGCCACGCAGGAGGCTCTTTGGGAAGCCACAGATTTCTGCTTACAGTTTCAAAAAGCCCAGCTCCCCCCTGGTTTGTGGTGGTGGCCTCTGACAATGGCTCAGGGCAGGAGCCCACGTGGTAGACTGCTAAGGCTTCTCTGCACCCTGTCTCTGCTCCTGCATCCACCTTGGCTCACAGAGTGCAGACTTGACTTTCTTAAGCTCACAAAGGGGCCCCTGAGGATTGAGCAGAGGAACGTCAGGTTTTCTTCCAGGCCAGCTTCAGCCCTGGGATGTTCAGGGCAGACTCATTTCAAACCTCAGTTTCTGAGGCTCCTTGCTTATGGCCATTTAGTGTGGAAGGAGGCTCCTGGCTGAGGAAGGCTCAGAGAGAATGATGCAGGTTCTAATCTGTGGCAGTGGGCAGTAGCGGGGCGGGAGGGGGTCACTGCAGGAAGAGGCATTCGCTGCCTTAGGCAGTTAAACCATTGCCCTCTCTTCAGAATGGCTCACCTGCAAGATTCTGTGGGGTCCGCCTCCTGGCACCATGCTACAATGGCCAGATTTTGGGTCTGGAGCAACTGAGATCTTCGTCCAACTCTTCCGGAGCATGCTTTCTCTTGGGAGCACGTCTGGGGACTGGCTTCTCTGCTTCCACCTTTGCTGGTGGGGGGCCAAAGGAACATCCCCATAGACCCGGTAGCCACCAACCAGGCAGTATGTCTCCCCATGCCGGCCCAACTGCGTTTCTCCACACCCTCAGTTGAGGACGTGGTAGTGACCAGGTGTAGGAGGAGAAACGGGAGCCACTGCTGCTGCAAAGAAAATCAGAACTGATCAGTCACTTCTGCTGTGCACAGTCTCCTGCCAGAATTTCCCTCTCTCATGTCTCTCCCAGTTTCTGGCTGAAGACCTTTAATCTACTTGACATCCAAAACACAGCCTTGGCCCGTCACCTCTATGAGTCCCTAGAGAAGGGACACTGGCTGCAAAAGCAATCCCTAGAGCCTAGGGCTGCAGCGGATGAGGAAGTCTCTTCACCGTTTCCAGGGAAAACAGTAGAACCTGAAAGTAATTGCAATCATGATCCTCTCCACCTCTCCCTTCCACAACAGAGAAAACATTTCTTGCAGTCTGTCACTTCTGAGGCTTTAATGGGAATGCCTTTCAAGGTCTGGAAAAGAATAATCTAATAGAAATTGGTTAAGAACCCCACCCACCTTGGCAACCCCTCTTGGGCCCCATTTATACTGCCTGTTTCAACCACACTGAACTCTAGCCCTCTGATACTTTTATCTAGATTAGAACGAGGCCAAATACTGAGGCAGAGTGATCAGGAGACTCAGAACCGGGTTCTGGGTACCAAGTCTAGGCTCACATCAACCCAGCCTCCTGGGACACCATCTCCTCAGCCCTCCAGTCTCATTAGCACTTCATCACCCCCCCCTTGGTTCTTCCGGTCTTCCCATCAATATGGCACCACCCTCTCCCCTAGTACTCAGCAGCTCAGTATGGGATGTGTCTGAGGGGACCGATATAGATGTCTACATGACAGCACAGAGGTGCTGGGGCTTGAAGGTGCGATTCAAGAGTGGCCCTTTTCCTCAAACTGCTCCATTTACCATTTGCCAACAAAAATGCACTTGTCTTTTGCTAAGAGGCCAATCAGGAAAAGGTCTGAATGGAAGCATCCTGTAGCCCAAAGGGGAAGGCTACATTTATAAAGATCAGAAGCTTCCTGCACACTTTTCCAGGGATGACCTTTCACTTGTCCTCAGCAGTGAGCACTGTGGGCCCCTGAAGGTGTCCCAGGTCACTGCTGTTACTTACAGCTGGGAAAGAGCTTAGGTGGGTGTGGTGGGCAAGCCCCACAGGAACATGTGGCAGCCAGGTGAGGTTGTGAGCACAGCATGCCTCTTGTACCGATGCCCGGTCTCGGTGTACCTGCTGCACTGCCCACCCAGGGAAGAGAGGACAGGCTGGAGTAAATATAGAAGATCTGGTCAGACATTCTCTCTCAGACAACCAAAGGGATTGGTGTCTGGTGGAGAACTGGTAGGGAAGTTTCTCTGAGGGCAGCACGTTTGCATGGTTACCCTGCCATGGAAACTGTGAGAAGGCCTGTGAGAAGGCAGTGAGGTCATCACTACCCAGTGAGGTGACTTGAGGGGCAGCCTTCAGGAGGAGGGGCAGTTTTGTGGAGGAGAGCAGGGTGCGGGCAGAGGTACTCTGCCTGGCCCCTCACACCTGGGCCTCCCCACCCATGCCCTAGCCTAGTAGACACCCCATGTGGGGCATGCCGGTGGGCTGGCACAGCCCCAGGGGCCCCAGGAGGGCAAGAGAGACCCACATTCTGAGATTGGCTTGAGAGGCAAGATTAATGTAAGAGACAGCTAGGTTGTATGGCACCGACCCTAAGAGGCAGAGCTTTGTGTGGACTGGGGAATCAGGGAAGGCTCCTTGGCAGTGGGCCTGAAGGACAAGTGAGATTTGGACCCATGGGGAAGAGAGGGAAGACATTCCAGTTTGGAAGAATAAAAGCAAAGACACACTCTTCTCGACCTTGTCCTGCCCCAAATATAAATTCATAGCACCCTCACATTTTTACACCAGAGGACTTAAAAAAAACAAGAGGTTAAGGGGCCTACCCACAAGACGATTTGGTCCGACTCAGAGAAGGAAAGAGACAACTCTGCCCTTGGCCTGATCAGGCCCACAGGAAGGAATCACATTTGGGGCAGCCTTTGATAGTGTGGCAATGAGAGGGAACCTTCTTTAGGAGGGGACTCCCTGTTGCTGACCTTGAAAAGCAAAGATGGGACGTTCGTTTACTGGGGCTGTTGCAGAGGCGATGTGCCCAGGAGGTAGAGACTGCTTGCACTACTATTTTAGAGGTTGGGCCACCCTGGTTGAGAGCCACAGCACCTTGTATTCCTAAACTGCTTGAATCAGCGGGTGCACGTTAGGACAGACGAGGTCAGGCCTCATTGGAGCAGACTGCCTTTGGGAGTTGTAGAAGGTAAAATGTGAAGGGGAATGCTCTGGAGGAGGTTTGTCATGGCAGGTGGGGCAGCATGAGACCATTCAGATTCTCCAAGGCTCCAGAGATTACTTGGCTGGGAGAATCCCTCTGATGTGGTGCAGGGACTCCTACCTTAACAGGACCTGGCTGGGCATCTGGGGGAGGCAGAATAAATGGTTTATTAACTTAAGAGAGCAAGAGACTCACCTGGGGTGTTCCACAAAACCACTCAAAAAGACTTGTACCTGGATTCTTGGGCCAACCCTCAGAAAACTTATCTAGATCTGGAGTAGGGCTCAGGAAGCTGCACTTTTTTTTTTTTTTTGCAGTACGCGGGCCTCTCACTGTTGTGGCCTTTCCCGTTGCAGAGCCCAGGCTCTGGACGCGCAGGCTTAGCAGCCATGGCTCACAGGCCCAGCCGCTCCGCGGCCTGTGGGATCTTCCTGGACCGGGGCATGAACCCATGTCCCCTGCATCGGCAGGCAGACCCTCAACCACTGCGCCACCAGGGAAGCCCAGGAAGCTGCACTTTTAATAAGCTTCCTGGGCAGTCCCACCACAGTGGTCCATGGATAGAGTAACCAAATTATTGTGTATTCTTGGTTGCTTTTGGGAGTCAAAGTGGGCAATATTAAAAACTGCAGCAGGCATACATATAAACAGGGAATATTCAAGGCAAACAGAGGTGTATA